CACTCGGTGACAGTGGTGGTGCCGTTTTAGTTCGCGTTCTCCAGCTCGATACGTAGCGGCGTGGCTCCGTGGTGCTCATGGGCATTCCAGCGGCGGGCCAGAGCGACGGTCACCACTGTACTTCTGAGGGCTTTGGTGCTTTTCGGTTGTCTGAGTTGTTGTAATGTCTTCCTTAATGCTACATTGACTGTGTCTTGATAATGTGGGTCTGGTTACTTAGCATAAAAATACTATTTGTTCTCTACTTGCAGAAGTATACTTTTTTTATAACTTATGAACTTGTTGATGGCCCTTATATTAATTTAAACTAATTAAAAGTAAGCTAAATGTTTTGGCGGGAGTATATCGGTAATATTTTTTTTTATATATATACATACAGTATAACCTCTCCCCGAACCCACGTAATCCGAATTGTCCACTAATCCGAACCCCTCATTGTTGTACTCTATACACAGTACAGCAGTTCTTTATGGTGTACTGTATTTAATTTACAGTACTGTTTATTCACCATGTTTACTACTGTATTTTACTTTATAAAACATTTTTTCACTTTTGCCAAAATAATGTTGATCAATTTTAGCCATGTTTTAGCTATTGTTATGTAAAAACAACAATATGTTCTGTAATCCGAACTATTCAATAGTCCGAACTAACCCTGGTCTCAATTAGTTCGGATTAAAGAGGTTCTACTGTATATAATATTTCTTGGTACTGCTGTAGCTGAGTAAATATGATGTTCTTCGGTTGTGCCTGAGAGTTTTAGTTTGACGATCCTGCCATGACGTTTTGTACTACTTTACTTTGTACCATTCAGTCGTGTTGTCCTTACTCTATTCAGGACTGTTCATAAAAATTTCTTGTATGACGTTCTCACTGAAGCTGCTACTATTGAGCTGGAGAGATGTAGGTGTAGATATGGAGCATATGGATTATCTGTGGCGGTGATGATCTTGGTGATGGAGATAGTGCGATGATTTATAATATCTATGTTGTGATGATGATGGTTCTGGCAAGATGTGGAGACTACTCAGTTGTCTGACGAAGATCTACAGCTTAATGAATGGGATACTCGATGAAGACTGGGACGGGTGGCGTCGTCCTGTAATCCAACTACTAGGTCACGAATTGTGGATATTTATAGGCATGCACTGTGGATGCGATACTCCCTAGTGTGGATTAACGTCCGCACGGGTGAGTACTATGACTACCCGCAGTACTATCCTGATAATTAGACCAATTCGTATATACCAAATAGGCAAAATGTGGTTCAGATTCCACAATAAATTGTAGGTCCCTTAGTTGCCATTAGCTGTTTGGGCTATTAATTAACAGCTGTGTCTAAGGAATATGTCGGCTTAGTCACTAACAAGGCTACAAGATCGCGCCACTCATCCTACACTCATCTCCATTCATAGTTCGCTTAAAATACCTACTTTGTATGGTCGCCATTTCACTAAAAAGTATTAAAGTATTAAAGAATGCAGTTCTTGAATTCCCAAATGTCTTTATTATTGTATGTCTTCTATTCTTGATTAATCATTATTCGGTTGCTAGAGGTAGGGTGTATAGTGCCAGTTTTCTACCTCTGTATTGGTTGGATTTCTTCCTTTTTCATTTTTATTTATTTTATTAATTCTTTTTTATTTATTTATTTTTTTTTTATTACCGATATATGCCCTAGTGATTCGGAAAAAAGGACTACCCTTAACTACCTAACTTTAACTGTGAATTTGGTGTGAGAAAACTATTGATATATGGATTGAAATACCTATTACTAATTACTGGGGATGGACGAGATTGGATTTTTAGTTCAAGACGAGACGAGACGAGATTTTTTATTTCTCATAAAATTTCGAGACGAGATTTCTCTTCTCATACACAACGGGAAATGTACGTTCGAAATTTTTACCTGATTTTGTAACATTGTTAGATGAATGTTTAATACAAAAATAATGATAATAGGCAAGAATATTTACAATCTTTTATTAAATAACATCAGCATAACATTTTTTTATTAATCACGCCTAACTTATTAAAAATGCCTACGATTAGGAAACATGGTGATATCAGTTAGGATAGAGTTCAACTTATCCTAAAATAAAATAAATCATAAAATAAAAGCAATATTAATTTTTATAAAACAGTTACTTGTTTTGACTTGTTTTATAGTAATAAAACATTCCTCACACTGCCTACACTTAACAAAACTTCTCAAATGTTATTAAAGTAATATTATTAAAATAATGAAAGTAATATTTACATTAAAAGAATTAATTAAATAAGAACGCCTTCGCAAAGGAAACGCAACTACAACACGCTCCTGTATTGCGGGTATTGCATTGACTTTCTGCAGGCGTTTTTTAATTTTTTTTATTCTCGTCTCGATAAAAATCTCGGCCAAAAAGAAATCTCGTCTCGTGTAACGAGATTGAAAATTTCCCGAAATTTCGAGACTTGACCATCCCTACTAATTACTATGAAATAAAAACTAACTTGACTACTGGTTTGCTTATTTTATAAAGATTTTCATTTTGACTCGTTGACACACATTATCAGACTATATATTTATATAACTCTTTCAAATGATATTTAAATTGAATGGAAGACATGTGTCCGCGCCTGTTTGACCGTTGTTTGGTGTACGGTAACTTGACCGTGCACCTTTTTAGCCATACGCAATACCATCCTGTTGGGTGGGATTTCATTCATTATTATTACTTTCTCTTGATTGAATAACTAAATAAATAAATATATATATATATATATATCCTTTACCAAGCTTTTGAATATGATTTTTTCTTTTCATTTAAAAAAATAAAATTAGAGCGACATGCTTCACTCTCAAAATAATTGTACTATAATCGGACAATATAATGAATACTAACAGTCCGTTATCTCGGCGCCGTTTCCTGCTGACGAGATAAGGATCTCGCTTGAGGTTTGGCCTTGACCGATATTCTGTTTACTCTTCTGGTGTCTACTCACTTCCTACTGTACTTAAGTTTTATTTCCCCGTTGATTATCTTATACTATTATATTTACTACCTGTTTCTCCTGAACACTATTTAACTATTTTATGTTTTACAATTTTCCATGACTTATAACCAGCATATTAAATAGATAGATTATACAATACAGTTCAAAGAGATAGATCCGATATTGAATAAAATATATTCTCACTCCGAATAAAGCAGATGCTGGGGGGAAATATTTAGTGTGATATGTCTTGGATCAAGCCACCACTGGTTGCGTTCACTCTCACTCATAGATATGCCTTCAGAGAAGACGTATCTTAGACTTGAGTTTGAGGTCAGCTGACCAGAGGTGTCTTGGTCGTGTTGAAGGCATGTGAGAAGGGGAAAACGAAATTGAATAATATCTATCTTACTGCTAATAAACTTAAGCTAAGGATGTTGGCTTGGCTCAGTACTTGTTAATTTAAAATGTAATTATGCTTTATTTTATTGTTGGCATAAAAAATCTCTTTAACTGGGAAACATGTGCCGCCTGAACGTATTTACTCGTTGAAGGGTTTATGAGCCTTTACTGGTGAAGTGAAACATTCAATTGCTTTGACCAAAGTTGCGTAAGCTTTTTATTTATGTTATCTATGGCCTTACTTTGGGGATGGAGTCTGTACATAACCCAGTCACCCGGTTTGTAAGGATTTGGTTTTCTTTGTCGATTGTACAGTCGCTCGCGCCTTTGCCGAGCTTTACTAAGATTTTCAATGCCATCTTTCCACCTTTCCTCCGTACTCATCTGATGGTCGTCTGGAATTAATTGGTTCAGATTCCAAGCAAATTCGAGCGGATGCGTTATTTTCCTACCTAAAAAAAAACTCACTGGTGAATGACCAGTGCTTACGTGATGTGCACTATTGTACGCTATCTGGAACCAGTATGTATTACTGTGCCAGAATCTGTAGTCCATATGGTGATAAATGCGCATTGCTATTTTTAAATTCCTATTAACTCTTTCCGCCAGACTAGGATTTGGATAATATGGCGAAGTGTGTACGTGTTGGATTGAATATTTAATGCACATTTCCGCTATTTCATGAGCCCTGAATGTAGAGACTCTTATCACTAACCATGTATTTTGGAAAACCCAAAAATGAAAATACGTTTTTGGATAGTATGTTTATGGTTGTTGCTGCAGTTTGGTTCCTGGCTGGTAATAAAATTGTATATTTCGAAAAGGCGTCTACAACCGATAGAAGATACTGATTTCCATTTCATGACCTTGGCAATTTCCCTACGTAATCAATAAAAATCTTTAAAATGATTATCTCTGATGCTAAATGACCTACCCTTGTGTTTTGCGCGGGTTTCGCGCGCTGGCAATTTATGCACAACTTTATTCTGTCTGTTACCTTATTTAAATTTGGGGCCCAAAAATATTTATTTATTTGATGAATCGTTTTTGTAATTCCTAAGTGAGCTGATGCTGGTCCTACGTGATAGTACGTAAAACATGTCGATGAGTTTTACTGGCAAAAACTATTCTAGGCGATCTTTCATTTGGAGAGTGGTGCATTAAAATGCTTTGGTTTACTGTGTATGCTTCATTAAGTTTTGGATTTTTAATTATTTTTAAAAGCTCTGGGTCTTCTCGTTGGTGTTCAGCAATGTCTTTAAAAACCTCTGGTATTTTAGTGAGAAAATTTACTCCATTTGGGGCAAGATTGCTGGGTGCTGGCACCTCATTGGTTTATTGTTTGATTCGGCGTTTGATTCAACTTTGACCTAATCATTAACACTTCTGTTGGTTCATGATTAATAAGTATCTAATAATTGTTAATTCTACAACTTATCGGTTTCATTCCCGTTCCTGGACGACACCACCGCTCCAGTTTCCAGGCCACGACTGCCCCTAACTCTACCCCTTCCCTACTCTTCTCCAGTGTACGTGACTAAAGCGGATTGAACCGGTTGATAGCGGCCCGGCTGTGACGCAAGTGTCACACTTGAGTAGGGTAAGAATATTAGACAATACAATTTACTAATTGGAGCAAATGATTTATAAGTAAATACACATTCTATACAAAAGTCCGTATTGTATATATACATAATAAAAATAACAAATAATCCAGTTCATTATTGATTAAATAAATACAACGTAGAGACACATTTGCTGTTAACAAGAAAGATTTTCCATCAGTCATCATTGCACTCGAGCTCCTCATCTTCAATATCAAGTTCATCCAAATCTTGAAAAAGTGATTCATCCACCTTGACAACTTCTCCACCTACAAAAAAATTGTTTTCATTAGAACGACTTGTTGCTTTGCAACAAAGTGAGAAAAGAGAATAGGTACTGGAGTTTTTAAAAATCAACTTCAAACACACTCACTATTGTTATAGCGGAAAAACACAATCATTATTGCAAACATTTTCCACTGTGGTCAGTTAAACTTGAATTAAGTATTTCTGGCTGAGCATTTACTGTGTTAAATTTGTACAGTATGATGACTAAGATGTTACTTTGATGTTATAGACAGTCTTCAATTTTATGAATGATATAATAAAGGTTCATGACCCAAAACAAGTAATCTTTGGACCACTAGGCTGACTGAAGAGGACAAGGACAAGGTACCTTAACATGTGTGTTTCGATTTCTGAGTCTTTTATTTTACAGAAGAGATGTAATTATTTTACAACTAAAGTGGAAAAACCAGTAGAACATTACATTTATATACAGTGTGTAAATTAAGTATGGAAACAAATCTGTATTTTTAAAACCGAAATAGATAGAAATATTCTATTTGTGGCAATAATAGTTAACAAAGATTCCGCAATTTTTCACATGAAAAATATTTTTTTACCCCCCTAACAGGGTAGGTGGTAGGGGGTGACTTATTTTTTTCAAATAGCAACCCCTATTGAGTGACCCCTCATTTTGAAGAGTTTGTCAAAAGAAACACAATGACGCAAATCCGAGGTGAATATCTCACTCCTAGCCCAAATGGCGGATATTCCAAAATTTGATTTATTGTACGTGAAAAGCACCAATTTCACAAATAATGGAAAGAAATCTGTATTTTTAAAACCGAAATAGATAGAAATATTCTGTTTGTGGAATTGATTGTTGACATAGGTTCCGCAATTTTTTTAATCAACAATATTTTTTCAACCCCTTTAACAGGGTAGGGGGTGGGAGTGACTTATTTTTTTCAACAACAACCCCCATTGAGTGACCCCTCATTTTGAAGGGTTTGTTAAAAGAAAAAGAATGACGCAAACCCGAGGTAGATATTTCACCCCTAGCCTAAATGGTGGGTAATGAAAAATTTAATTTTTGTAAAAAAAAGCCCATTTTGGAATATCCGCCATGTTAGCTAGGAGTGAGATATTCACCTCGGATTTGCGTCATTGTGTTTCTTTTGACAAACCCTTCAAAATGAGGGGTCACTCAATAGGGGTTGCTATTTGAAAAAAATAAGTCACCCCCTACCACCTACCCTGTTAGGGGGGTAAAAAAATATTTTTCATGTGAAAAATTGCGGAATCTTTGTTAACTATTATTGCCACAAATAGAATATTTCTATCTATTTCGGTTTTAAAAATACAGATTTGTTTCCATACTTAATTTACACACTGTATATTTCCTATTACAAACCAAATTGTACATGTCCCTTTGTAGAGATCACTAATAGGCCTTATGAAAAGTCTTTAAGTTGGATAAAAAAAGCTTTTTTCCTAAGCAAAATTAAATTCTGTTCTTTATCAATATAAAAAAGAGTAAAAAAACAATTACAGTAATATAAAAAAACATTAAAAAAATTAAATCTTTCAGCCCTTAAATTTGCTAAATTTATTTTAAGCTTGAAAAGACATTTTTGGAAATGGTATTATTCACAGAGCTTGACGGGGGACATTTTTTACGCTTTGGCTTTTAGGAATGTCTTCCTAGGTCACGGCGAACTCGAGAACATCTTCCAAGGTCACTGGTGAAAAATTAAACATCTTCCTAGCTCATGGAGATATCATCACCTCCGCCCATGTCTCTGCATAATTGTTCTAGTTATTGTGCATCTGTGACGACGAATTCCTTCCATCACGGAATAAAAGCACGGTTCGGTTCAGTTCCAAAATTAAGCCGCTCCCACACTTCACATAAATGACCCGACCCAACCTTGGCCTACAAATTATTTCTGGTCCTATTCTAATGAAGAATATCAGGGAATAGCAGCCCGCTAATGTTATTGAGCTTTGTTTGAGTTGTCGCTTGTGGTACAATAATTTAACACGTTCGCTGCATTGGATAATTTAACATGTTCGCTGTATTGTAAGAATAAGAATAAGAAGAATAAGAATAAGAAATATTTATTTCCATTGATCTTTATAAAAGAAATAGGACACGTCATTGTTATACATAGTTACAAGGTGATTCAGTGTTTACAGTACAAAATATCTAAATTTAAATAGCCACTTACATGAAAATAAAAGCTTTATTTCAACTTACTCTTCAAAATCTAATATTTATTTCACAACTTAAAAAATCATCAATTTTGTAAAAGGGATTTTTAACAATCCAGTCATACAGTTTATTTTTAAAAATACTGTAAGAAACTAATTTTGCTTCTTCAGGCAGCTTATTAAACAACATTATACAATTTAATTTATGTGAATGTTTGGTTTTTGCCAATCTGTGCTGCAAAATATCTAATTTATCCCTACCTCTTGTATAGTGATTGTGTACGTCTTTTCGGAAAGAGAATTGATCTAAGTTTGACTTTGTATATATTAGAATTTGGAATATATAAAGATTTACTATGGTTGGTATCCTGAAATTAATGAAAAGAGGTTTACAATGTGTATCTGAGCATTCTCCAGCAATGCTTCGAACCGCCTTTTTCTGGAGTAATAGGATGTCATTAATATGTGGAGAGTGGCCCCACAAAATAAGACCATATAGTATGTGCGATTGAAAGAGTCCAAAATAAGCCAATCTTAAATATTCTTGGCTAACAAAATCCTTAAGTTTCCACAGCAAGCACCTCACTCTTGAAATTTTGTTACAAACAGATTTTATGTGTGATGACCAATTTAATTTTGAATCCAAATTAAATCTTAAAAGTTTAACTGATTCAAATTTTACCTCTGTTTTAAGACTGATTGTTATATATTGTGATTTGTCAGAATTACAAGATAGTCTGTTTGCAGAAAACCAATCATATGCTCTATGTTCAGCCTCTTGACTAATTAAGCGCAGGGTTGTTAAATTAGAATGGTTAGCGAGTAAAGTTGTATCATCCGCATATATAACAGATTGTGCATTTATATTTATAGGAAGATCATTAATGTAGACGTTAAAGAAAAATGGCCCTAGTACAGAGCCCTGAGGAACACCGGTTTCAACTTTTTCAGTTTTAGAACATTTATTTTTAATTGATACCAATTGAAGTCTATTACATAAATACGAAGAAATTAGAAGCATGGCATCATTAGTGATGCCATAAAAACGTAGTTTGTTAGTTAGGATATCAAAAGGAACCGTGTCAAAAGCTTTACTTAAATCACATAAAACTAATGACACAGATTCCTTCTTTTCTAAAGTTTCGAGAGAATGGTCAACTAAAGTGAGAATTGCTGAGGTTGTGGATTTACCTCGACGAATGCCGAATTGGGAGTTTGACAATAGGTTATTTGTTTCAAAGTAATTATTTAATTGATTATACATTACTGCTTCAAATATTTTGGAAAAAATAGGAACGAGTGAAATAGGCCGATAATTTTGAACCATTTTTTATCACCTTTTTTGAATATTGGGATTACTTTCGATATTTTGAGGGATGGAGAAAAATATCCCTCCCTCATACAGGTATTCAATATAAAAGCAAGAGGGTAGCTAATAAAACCTATAGTCTTTTTCAAAATATTATTAGAAATCCAATAATAATCCATTGATTTAGAATTTGTTAATTTAGCAACAACTTTAATTATATCGGATGATGAGACCTCTGACCAAGAAAATGTTGTATTTGTTGAGTTGTTTCCTAAAAAATCTTCTGCTTTGTAAGGGCTTTGTGGTATTACTTTACTTAATTCTTTTATTGAATCTAAAAAATATTAATTCATTTCATCTGGGTCAAGTATGGCATCTTGACTATGAGTTGGTGAATGCTCATTTTTAATTACGGCCCAGGTAGCACGACATGGGTTGGAAGCATTACTGATGAAGTGCTCAACCGCGTTCTTTTTGGCAAGAGTCATTTTATTTCTATAGAATCTTTTATGGTTCATATAAACATTATAAGCTGCCTGAGTTAGCTCAGAACCTGTAGATCTTAAGTTTTTATAGACAGTAAAGTACTTGAGCATATCATTCTTAATTATTCTAAGCTCAGGAGTATACCATTTTATAAGCTTATTATTTTTAGGTTGCCTGTCCGTTACTTTGACCAATGGGGAACAATTGTGCCATAAATTCACACATCTTTTAAAAAAACTATCAAACAAATGTTCAACACTAATTTTGTTATGTTTATAATCATCAATCATTTCCCACCTTTCCTCTCTTAAGTAAGAAATAAATAAGTTTAAATTTTGGTAATTTTGCTTCCTGATAAATACACTGGAGGCTTTGTAATCAAGGCTATTTTTACTTGTATTTGATGTAGTAACAATTTCAAATAAGAGTGGAGTGTGATCTGCAAAACAGTTTTCATCACACTTCACACTATATAGGTTTTCATTAAAGTTAACAATAACATTATCTATACAGGCATTACCTCTAGTAGGCTGAAAATTTGTAATAAAAAGATTAAGAGATCTGAGTATATTGCTGAATTTTACAAACTTTAAATCATTATCAGATGGCCTGGCCATTTCAATATTAAAATCCCCTGCCACTATTATTTTGGATCTATTTTTTAATATCTTTCTGATTGCCTCTTCAAACTGTTCAAAAAATATATTGATGTCCCCATTTGGAGATCTGTAAATACTTAAGATTAATATATTTTCATCTATTAACTTAATACAACAAAGCTCATAATCAACTTCAGAGTAAAACTGTGATACATATATAATAGAGAATTTTATACCATCCCTGACATAAATTCCAACCCCCCCATTATTTTTTGAAGCTCTACAAATTACATTAGCTGGTATAAAATTTTTTGGTACATATAAATCAATTTGTTCTTGTTTAAGCCAGTGTTCAGAAACACAAATTAAATTATTATTATTTTTTTCACTAACAGATTCAAGGTACAACTCTTTGTTTCTTAAACATTGAACATTG